AGAGGTGAAAATGATTTTGTCAAATTTATATGGATATCAAAAGATAAGGAATGCCACTTTCTATTTTATTATTTAGAATGTACCTTCCAGACTTGACTTCATTTTTGTAGTTTGTGTAGTGTTTCATTGAAAAGAATGTTGAATCAACAAGTTGAGGAACATGTACCTATGTTCTGCTAGGACAAAGCTAGGTAAAAGTTTCAAAATTTGGTAACATACTTTTCTCTTCTTCACTATGATTTGTTATGATATTGCCAATAAATAATAAGAAAAACCCTGAAAAGTGACAATTCATATAGAACATGAATCCAATAAAGGGGTTATTTTGGTGAAATACATTTTTCATTTGTGAAAAGACTTGAAATAGATAAATAAACATCTGCAGTATGTGGTTGTCAGGAGCGGTCATTATAGGACTTTTTATTGCTAGGAGTTCCTGAAAATGTCGATTTTTTAACACTATAATCTATTGAGTAGCCTTATTTCTGAAAGGAGAAAGGACAGATGAAAATATGTCTGTCTGAAAATTTTTGATAAAGTAGATTTTTAGAACAATTCTTGAGGTGAATTCATGCACTAGTCGTGAGTTGCAATAAGTCATAAGTAGTTGAATCATTGACTATATCAATGAAAACATTCATCATGAATAGGCAGTTTTCTATAGTATTAAAGGGAAAACATGAATTGTTGCACTTCAAACTTGTGATTTACAGCCCGAGACCTGACAATGGTCTGTGACTCCACCTTGTTCTTCAAATAAAATAACTTAAAACTGAATATCCCGAGGAGTTATGTAGTTCTACTGACAAACTCAATTCTACTTTTTCTCATAGTATGAAGTTGGTGTTACTCACCAGTTTGAAAGCAGCTAAACTATTTTCAGGTGCATCTAATCCTGCTCCTCTATGTGCCACTGTTTTCATTACATAGTCATTACTGGTAGTCTCTAAATGTGGATCTTTACCAAGAACTGCTTCTACGGCGCTGGGTTCTGGAGGAGGGACCCTTAAAACTACTAACAAACAAACTATTGCTGCAGTGAATATAACGGTAAATGGTAAAATGCTACAGAAAATTTCTTTAATGAGAAACCAACTGCCATAAGTCACATAAATTATTGTTATTGCACTTGGTATTAAATTCAAAAAATTTAACTTCATGGTTTTGACTGTATTGGACAAGAATTTTTATTTTTACAAAGTTGTCAATGTCAATAATCAATTCAATATAGTGACTTTGTCAATTGTCACATCTATGATTTATAAAGTTTTCCATTGGTAAAACCGGTGGTGCGTTCGTGTAGTACTGACACTACACGAGTTCTGTCAAATTTCAGTATTGGTGCAGTCCTAATGGAATATGAATTGAACACACAATTTCTTTATCACTACTTGATGAATACGATAATGGATTCAACCTATCCATATCCTATTCATCCTTCGCACGGCAGCGAAGAGCCCGAAAAATATGCGCTGAATGCAATCCTCATTGACCTGGTTTTCCAATGAACTGACTCGTTTTACCAATGAATGGAACAATTCTATCATTATTCATAGTAGGTACTTACTAACGCAGTTTCCAAAAGACACATACACATACACATACACACACACATAAATAAAACACTTCAATTTACTTGTCTATACCTTGGCTATGCAGCGTATACTGATACTCTCCTTTGTGATGTAACACCTAGGGTGGTTAAATAGTGTTTTCTGATAAAATACAATTACCTATTTCCATTGGTCCATTTCAAATACAGTTTGCGATGATGATTTCAACCAAAGATAGTACTGCCCTGATTAATCCCCCATAAATACTAGAACGAAAATGCTGTCTCTCGACGAGCTTTTCGCTAACCTAGTTGACTATTCATCTGCTTATGACGCTAACTTGATTAGCGAAACACACGTCGAGAGACAGCTGCTCCCAAATATCAGAAATGCAATACTCTTCTTGACGCGCGTTTCGTTAACTGAGTTTAATTAAGTATTAGAATATTCTTGACAATATTCGAAAATTTTGGATCTTATGAAAATATTATGGGAATCTGTGCTATCTAGGTCCTACTATATATACTAGAAAACTGCCTAAAGACGCGGCCGTATGGAGTTTATTCGACTAGGTTTTCTGGCAATATTGCATGGCATCAACACGAATTGTATGATGTTTCAGTTTCCAATCCTTGTGAGGCGTCGCCTACGGATTAAAAAAAAAAGGACAATTGAGATGGCAGTGCACTTTTAGTGGGGCACATGAGATATCTCTTTATTAATTGGTCGATGAGTCATTTTCACTAGCAAGAGTTTCACTTTGTACAACACAAATATAAAATAATTATTGTACTGACGTCAATATCAAAAGCTCCTGGTGAAATTCTTACCTAATTTCAAAATGAGCGGTACCTGTAAGCGTAATGATAATAATTAATCAATTTTCACACTATGAACTTCATTTAAGATGTCTTTCACTACACAGTAGCTTGATTGAACTGAAGAAGGTACTGTTTTGTGATCATATGTTGTGGTTATGTGAACTGTTTAGTGAAAATATCACAATGAATGAGGTTGAGTGGAAGAACAACTCAGTAGCACTTGTGATGAGTTGAACTTCGCCTTTTGTTATATCAGCAACTAGCTCTGTAATTTATTTAAATATTTGTATGTAACTACAACTGGGAAACAATAAAGACGATTATTATTATTATTATTATTATTATTAAACGTATCTGAAAAATAATGTTGAATTTCACTTACCGGGAATGTTTCTATGGACTACACTGGAGACAGAATCAATAAACTTCACTAACATGTAATTCATCGTTGATTGTGAAAGAGATTTGAAAATCATGAAGCTTTTATTCATGTTGAATATGTTTGCTTCGTTGTGAGTTTCGCAAATTCACATGCTTTTTAGTAACTTGAACTGACTTTGGTGAGTGCACGTCGTGAATACTTTTTAACATTTGACAGCATTGCTCTTGACATTTTCAATTAAATTTCGCACTAATCAACTTACAAAAAGACACTCGTGATTTAAATTCAGCTTATTACTTGAGGTATAAATTCAATATACTCCTTTAGAATTGGCTTGTTTCATAATTTTTGGTTTATAGTTCACTTGATAGAAATTTGAAATTGAAAAACAGTGCACTTTGTTTCATCTCTCTAAGTACTGTAGTTTTCCCGTAATTAATTATTAGAAATCGAATGTGGCAGGGTGGTGACGTCACGGCCCTATTCCCGCTTCTTGTTCGATTGACCAGTAGGAATAATAGAAATAATCAATATTGCCAAATCGTAAAATTTGCGAAGCCTATAATTATCAATTTAATTATGGAAGTGTATATGAACCCGTTAACGTTTCAATTAATGAAAAATTCTCCACATGGAATAAATCCCATTGTAATTAATTCATGATAATTTCTCAGCTAGTTAGAATTCAGCTTTTGAAACTTTAGTTCATATAAAAGAATTTCCCAAAGAATTGGGCAGTGTCAGTTTAGAAAAATTCAGTTCTCTGGGCATGGTTAACAGTTTTTATTTGGGATTGATATATGAATAGGTATAATGTATTTTTTATGTTAACACCGTGTATGCTGTAACTAAGCAGTTGCTGTCAGTTGAATGAATAAAAACATCAAGAATCACAAAAACTACAAATGAAAAATAAATTGTATTTAGCATTGTTTCAAAAGTTTTGTCCGTAATAATGTCATGTCTTTTTGTAGCTTCATATCTCAATAAATATTTATTCCACTGTGTCGCGGTAGATACTGGTCGATAGAGAATTTTTTACTCTACACATTGATGCCGTTCAAATTTTGCAATACCTAATTTTTGAATACATTCAACATATTATTATATGATTCGTTGAGCGATTTTTGACCAATTTTTCTCTACGAATTCAAACTGAACCAAAATGCAGCCCGAAAAATTAACCAGGCATTTGATAAGACGGTCGATTGGTCTTTTGAAATTTTGAAATATGGGATGGAGAAAATAACTTTTGTCTAATCTCTACTTAGTAGAAATCATTTATATACTATACCTTACCTACTATATTTAATATGAATTTCCACAAAATAAATAGATCATCAATCAAACACGTGGAATTTTTACATGAGTCGCTATATCATTGTGTGAACATTGTGAAGCACAATTCGATTGTACAGTATTTTAGATTGTTTGAAAATTTTAGTTCGAAGAAATGGTATTGTTGAGTACATCATATGCTAGATTCAAATGTCGAATATATGTTTATGAAATATAACTATATTGAGAAAGTAGTCATAATAAAAAAACCACTTTGGTCAAAGCGAATAATGACGATGCCAAAAAGTGCAAGACTGAAAAACTAAACTGAATTAGCAATAAGTAAACCAATTCAAAAAAGTAAGTGAGGTATTTCGCTGTAAGAAAAAAAACGCATTGAATGTTCCTTAAAGAATGTATTCCAAAAAAAAATACCTATTCCACAATGCAGTGTCTCGTCCAAGGACATCGTGAATAACATCATTAAAAAGAAAACTTTTTCAGCACCTTTGCCGGTGATAGAGTATAGACTGAGAAAAATACCCAAATATATTGATAATACAGTATGAATGCCAATCTGTGAAGCATTAATGTGACTGTAATGAATTGACAAATGGCTCGACAGTAAGTGAAATGTCAAATATATACAAACAACAAAAATTAGAAAGAAAATAACTCTATAATGAAAAACAAACCATGAAGAAGAAAAAAAAAATATTTGAAACCAAGTTACTTCACGACAGTTCGATTGTTGGTATTCACAATCGTCTTCGGGTGATAACTGCCTATAATAAGATCTTAAAAAAATGTTTGACGTACCTATACTGCTTTGTTTTTTAAATAAATCCTTTACTTTTTCATGCTATTAGTAATAAAACAAAATTCCTATTCAACTTCAAGAAATAATTTTATTGACAAATGAATTCATGGATTTTAATGAAAAAAATTTTTAAAATATGTTTTTTCGTTAACCAGCTGTTGCACCCTTACGAACGACAACCTTCAGAAGTAAAAACTTGAAGAAATACTCAGCAATTAGGAGTCTAACAAAGAATATTTTTATCCTTAACATTTGGGAACTACGTCGTACAATATACCTACGTCACATTACTATTTAAGATATCATTTATTGCTACATTCTGATATCAATTATTGAACCACAGAGGAAAGAGGCAGCTTTCTCTGAACAAAGATTTTGTTACGGTTTTTTGTCATATTGTGATCCTGAATACTTCTTATGACTATTTTAAAAATCAAATAAATCGCTTCGATGATACTTATGAAGCTGATACCCAGGAAGAGATTGAATGTTCCTCCAAGAGACACTGAAATAGAAAACGATGTTAATTGAATAGACTACGATTTGAAAAGAGTTATTGGTTATGGATAATATTATCTTGTTCCTTCTCATGTATCCCCTATTGATGAAAAAACAAAAGTAAAAGGCAACATTTATGAAATACATTTATTCAGTTGAAAACCGAATTGTGAAATAACATCTCAGATATTCAAAACTGAAAACTGAAAAAATAAGGAATCTATCTCTGACTGCCTGCGCAAGAAAGATAATATAGACGAAAGGTCAGTTTTTGAATTATACTGTTAGGTGCACCATTTGTATTGTTATTATTATTATATTTTCACTTAGGGTAACAATAGGTTGGCTTCATGTTCAACTGAGGCAAAGTTATTTATGAAAGCGAAAAAATCTCATTGTTTGCGTGTTTTCACTTTCTAAAGGAGTAAACATACTATAATACCCCTCAAAACAGTGATATTAAACTTCCCCTTCCTTCTACAACTTTGTTTAAAAACTTATTCATTTACAAAAGATGCAAGATATATAATCACTTACCTGTCGAATTTAAGAACAAAGAATGTCTTATTGATGGAAAAAGCTTATTATATTCTTGAAGAAAACTTTTGAAATTACTTCTGATACATTCACTATTTTATTCTGGTAATTCTGTTATTAGATTTTTATACAGCTTCAAACTTATATACAACCTACCCTGGCTCCGCACCCGTGCGTTGCTAGTTGTATATACAGGGTGTCCCATATCAAACTCCCCGGGCAAATAGGTATTTAAAAAATGAAAAATAATATACATATTTCTCAAAAAAAGATAATTTTGGTGTCAAAGTGTCTTCTCATTCATGTAGAGATCCAGCACTATGCGTCATCCATTGAGGCGTCGCGACACCGACGTCAATTTTTTTAAATGGCAACCCAGTATTTTCAATTGGTCTTTAAATTCTGCATTAAATTCTGAATTCAGCCATATAGCACACTTGCAGTTTTCCTTGAATACTGATGAAAAAAGGCAATTTTATTGCGTATTATAAAGAGGGCCATTAATAAATCAAAATAAAGGTAATGATGTATTTATCGATCTGTCAGAAAACCTGTCAGATCGGATGAAAGTGTATTCAGTTTTGTGTTGGTTTTTCGTAAAATTGAAAAATGGTTTAATTTTCAAATGCAGTTGGATATGAAATGTATTTATGGCGAAGCAAGAAGGAATTCAAAAGAAGCAGTAAGAATATACGCTAATCGGTATCCTGACAGAAAATTACCGTCAGACAAAACATTCGCTGGCTTAGCCAAATCTTTGGCACGAAATGGATGTTTTAATGAATGGAAGCGAAAAAAACCAAAAAACGGCTACCGATGAGAATCACAGTGTTGCAGTACTGGGTCAAATGTTATTGGAACCACATAGTTCCACCAGACAAGTAGCAATCAATTGAGACATTTCGAAATCGTTAATACAACGTATTTTGTCAAAAACAAATTTCATTTATACAAAATACATTTGGCTCAAGTTCAAGGACTACATCCAGGTGAGAATCTTCATGTTTCATTTTTAATAACTGAAATATATTTCCATATTCAGGATAAGCTGATAGAAGATTGAATTTCATTGCATGGTTGTCCATCCGTATTCATGATGAATACGGGTGGACTGAAAAAAATATCATGGAGTGATGAAAGCCGTTTCCATAACAACGGTATAATAAACAAACATAATTGTCACTATTGGTCTGACGTAAACCCTCATTGGGTGCAAGAAACGAGATTTCAGTCTGTGTGGGGAGTTAATTTTTGGTGCGGAATCATTGATGGTTATTTGATAGGACCTAATTTTTTCGAAGGAATTCTCAATGGGGAGAGGTACTTGGTAAATAAGGGTCCAATACCATGACCAGCTTGAAGTCCAGATATGACTCTACTAGATTTATTTTTGTGGGGATATATCTAAGACTTAGTTTATATACGACGTCCACAAAATGTAGAGGATTTGAAAAATAGTATCACGAATGTTTGTGCTTCCATAACGCGAGAGACGCTTTTAGCTGTCACGAATCGGGAATTACTAAAAAGATGCAATATGTGTATTCTACGTGAAGGGAGGCAGTTCGAACACTTACTAAAGTGATTCTTGTTATCACTAATTGATTTCGTTATCATCATGTTAGTCGAGTTATGGCCAAAGTAATATATTTTTTGGTGATTTCAAACATTTATTTTAATTTGTAAAGAAATACGCAACTAGATGAAATTGAACAGACAATGAAATCATAACTGATGAATTCATTTTATCAAACTCGTATTATTGCATTCATTTTGACTTATTCATGGCCATCTTTATAATACGCAATAAAATTGCATTTTTTCATCAATATTCAAGGAAAAATACAAGTGTGCTATATGGCTGAATTACGAATTTAATGCAGAATTCAATAACCGATTGAAAATACTGGGTTACTATTTAAAAAAATTGGCGTCGGTGTCGCAACGCCCTAACGGATGACACCTCGTGCTGGATTTCTACGTAAATAAGAGGACACTTTGATACCAAAATTATCTGATTTTACGAAATATAGATATTCTTTTTCATTTTTTAGACATTTGCCCGCGGAGTTTTATATGGGACACCCTGTATAGATTGAAAACAAATGAATATTAGAAATAATGTCCATTACTGCAGACTCAGTATCACTTGATCTGTGAAAGCCACATTGACCTGAATACAAATAACTTATTGACTTTAAAAAATCTATCAATCTGTTGTCCATGACCATTTCAATAATTTCTGAATATATAGGAAGATCCGAAATGGTTCTATAATTTTTATTCATATCACTTTTGCTACCGGATTTGGATATAAGAGAAACACATTCAATATTACAGGTAGGTACTAGGAAAGATACCAGACACGATAATATTATTTATACCTTGTATCTGTTTCTATATTGTGGTATATAGTACTAATAAAGTGGAGTAAAAAAACCAATGAGAGATGCAACTGTTCAATCATTTCACACATCCTTTTTTGTACCACTTGTTGCATCTAATAATGTTATTAGGTACATATAATTTTTCTTGTCTAATTGGACATTTTATGACGTATGGAGGAGTTGAATTTGATGTAACAACAATTCGATAAAAATTTCGAAATAGTGACACTTTGATGCAGCAGGATTTCAAAAGTATCATTGAGTAAATCTCTATTTCTATAGATTGTGAGGTACAGAGTCCAATAATTGATGAAAATATTTTTGTTTAAGTTGCTTCAAGTTATTTATATAGTTTATTGAGCAGGAATTCTGACATACATATGGTCAATTCAAGAATTAACTCATTCAACATACCTAGGCACCGTACTTCCAAATTTCAAGGATGTTTTCCTTATATAGCCCCTTCTTATCTTATCTTATCTTATCTGGATGAAATTTTACCCCTTTCAAATCATGATATTCATCAATTTAAGAAAGAAATAAAATCACAGATGCTTACTGCTCTGTGCTAATTTAAAATTTTTTAAATTCAATGTATTGTAATGAATCTGAAGCCGGCCCTGACCGATGTCCCAGTCAACAAACGTTACAGTATGGTAGTGCAATAAAATTGTTAAATTGACCAAAATAATGTTAAGAATAATAAGCGTTATTAGCAACTATTTGATGTATTTTTTCTCTTCTCTATTATTGTTATGATAGTAAATAAGTATGTTTATGATTATTTTCTTATACTCATTGTATAATTTTTGGGAGGGGTGGAAGATAGCCTTTGGCTAACCCTTTTCCTTTTATGTATAAATGTATTTNTCATGGTGTTTTCGTGACGACAGTGCCGTAACGCCGTAACGACAAATCCATGTACTGTCAGTTGAATAAATATATTGAAGAAAACGCTAATCGCTAATTTTTATAAGAGACCTCAAAATGCAGACTTTTTCAGTTTCACAGCCCTGAATATCTATTATTTTGGTGGATGACAAAATAACTGAAATTACTCGTACCAATCAAGTCGCCGAATCCAAATAGTATATCTCTGCGATATTTGGTAGTAGGATGAAGGAGACCCCATCGGAAGGCTATTCTCTCGTCAAAATAACCACCTTCGTTCCTAAAAAATGTTAGTTTCAGACAATCATTACCTATACACTCATTTATATACCATTTAGTGTATTTCGGGTTGAGAGGTAGATAGGAAATCAAATGACAAGGCTGTGGACAAGTGCAACCTAATTGTGAAGGTTCCCGTGTCAGCTGAGTGGCGTATTTCGATAAGCAGATCAAACCAGAAATGTCACATACTTTTCCTTCAGCTGGAAAATAGAAACAAAAGAAAGATTGTTGAGTTCAGTTTTGTTTCACAAAGAATTCGAAAGTCCCTGTTAAATTTTTAGAAGTCATATTATATCTCTCAGAATTTGTATAGTGTTGAAGTAGATAAAGTGTCAGCAGTCAGTTGTGGGTGGTGTATCTGAACTTTCTGGAGAAGTGAAAACGATAACCCGAGTTGGGGGTTGATTTTTCAAAAAGTCTAATGAAGCTACCATAAATTCAGATTCCACTTGCGCTAGGATATTTTCTAACCAATCGTCTTACAAAAAAAATCAGAAAAACGACCCCAAAAAGACTTCAATTTTTCAATTGGTCAATATTGTTTATTATTGAAAAACACCCATAAGAAAGGTAAAGTCGGATTCTAAGTAACAAGTATCGGCAATCCAACACCAGATATATATTCGACGTTTCGGCTCACATTTTGGAACCATTTTCAAGAATTTGATGTGACTTGACGTCTCAGTTCAATCTAAGGAGTAGGCAGATTGAGGCCCCCGCGTCAAGTCACATCAAATTCTTGAAAACGGCTCCAAAATGGGAACTTTTCCCGATTTTATTTATATACAGGGTGTCCCTGGACTTCCTCTTTTCCTCTCGGGAATGTATAGATGGGGTCAAAATATCACCAGTACTTCATATACTTTTTTTTCCTAAAAGTCTTCGTAACCAAGTTACGGGCCCTCGAAGTTACAAAATGAAAAATGTTTTTCTTTGATAACTTTTCAAGTGAATATTCAAAATCATCCAAATTTTGGTAATTGACT